CAATGAGGTCAGAGACCCATGCCGTCTCTGAGTGGTTTTCCCCGTTATCACACAAGACCCCTTTGGATGTGGGGGTAGGTGTGGGTAGGTGAGGTGTATCGAGACCTGTGATTGTTTTTTCTTCTCCTGAGCCTGTGACTCTGTTGTGACCCTCACAGGAGCTTCTCAGTTTACCCCCTCCCTTATGTGAGACAGGAAGGCTGTGGGGAGGGCAATGGAGGTGGGTGTTTCCCTTCCCCCAGGTCAACTATGCTCTGAGAAACCCCAGAAGGTTAGGGTAGGGCAAACCAGATTCTCTGAGGACAGGTCTTGTCAAGAATAGAATGTTCTGATAAATTTCTAAATTATCTATTTCCTCACTCTTTACTAAAAGCACAAAGTATTTTTCTCTGATGTTTAATATGAGGACATGGTAGATCTCCTGGAGGTAAAACCCAGAACTGTGAGATCCCCTAAGAATTGATCCCCTAGAGTTTCTAACTCAGATCCCTCCACACTGAGCCTCCAACAACTCGTCAATACAGTCCAGGTTCTCATGACCCAGTATGGTTCCTGTGGAGGTTTCTGCTTATCAGTTTCTGCTCTTGCAAGTGGTTATTCCCTGTACATGCCTGTCTGTATGTTCAATTTTGGGGACAAATTGACCCTGTACTGTGGTTGAAGCTAAGTGTCCCTCAAAACTTCATGTGTTGAAAGCTAAGGCTCAGTGTGATGGTGTTAGGAGGTGGGGCCTTTGGGAGATGATTGTGTCATGAGGTTGTAGCCATAATGATGGTGTTTGTGCTCTTATAAAACAGACCCCACAGAGCTCTCACACCTCTTCCTTTCACCATATGAGGACACAGTGAGAAGACGTTGTTCATGAACCAGAAAACAGGCCCTCACAGACCCAGGATCTACTGGTGCCTTGATCTTAGACTTCAAAACCTCCAGAACTGTGTGAAATAAGTTTTTGTTTGTAAGATACCCAATATATGCTATTTTTACAGCATCCAATATGGAATAAGACCTAAATTGGTACTGTAAGTTGGGGGTACTGCAGTAACAAATACCTAAAAATATGGAATGGCTTAGAATGTAGGTAATGGGTAGAGGCTGGGAGGGTTTTGAGATGTGTGCTAGAAAAAGCCTACATTGCCGTGAAGGGATTGTTGAGGGAGATTCTTGTGAGGACCCCGAAAGAAAAGAGGAGAGCGGTAGAGAAAGCCTCAGTCTCTTTAGAGAATGTCTTAACAGTTGTGAACAGGATTTATAGAAATGTGGCCAGTAGAGTTCACTCTTTTCTGCATATTTAGGCTCTTATTCCTTAGAGAAGGGAAGGGGGGCTCAGGACAGAGCTTTGGTAGTTTCCTCTGTTCCTCTCCCAGTTTCTGTTGCTTTCCACTCGAGCCTTAGGTTACTGGTTTTGGTGCTTTTCTCCCTGCAGATTAATTACTTAGTTCTTAGTGGTGATCGGTGAGGTGGGTCTGGATGTTTCTCAGCAGTAGGTGCTGGTCCTCTCTCCCTGACAGAACAGTCTTGGGGGAGGAACTCTGTGGAGTGTGTCCCCATTCCTGGAGGACAAAGCTTTACAGGGACTAGATATCTCCCTAATTGTGTGACCCCTGAGAATATCACACTATAGGACCTTCACCACACTCCACTTCAAGAAATCCATGAAGTATGTCTCTTTCTTTCTTGTACTAGTTTGTAAGCCATCTGGCATTCTCTCCCCCAGATCAGCTATAATTCCCATACTGTTTCTCCTGGAAACCACTTGTTTCTTACCAGATGTCAGGTTTATTGTCTGAACTATATCTTCAATTATGTGGTGTATTAAAGTAAGATCACTAATTTGCAGTCTATACAGTATAGTTGTTGTTGTAAGAAGAGTTGTTGTTGTTCCTCAGCTGAGCAGAAGCTGTATTTGTAATACCAGAATCTGGAAACAATCCAATACCAAGCATGAGCTCAATAGACAAACACACTGCGGTGTAATCACTCATGGGATACTTCCCATAATCACAATCTATGAATGCTTGACACACACAACAGAACGGTTGTCTTCATAAGCAATGATGTTGAGTGAAAGAATACACATAAAAGTCACATGATATGATTGCATTTATTTACATTTAGTAAGTGAAAACTAATCTAAAGTAACACAGGTCAAGAGTTGGCTGTCTACAAGTTGGGTTAAGGGAAGAAGTGGGAGGGAGGAGTTACAGAAGAACAAGGAGAGAGTTTTAATGGTGATGGCTTCCTTTATGACCTTCATTATGGTGATGGTTGCACAGGTGTGCACATGGCAATGCTCATCAAATCATATACTTGACATTTATGCAGGCTATTACTTGTCAGTTATACCTCCTTAAAACTATTACAAATAAACTAATGGATAAGTAGGATAGAAAGAGGGATAGAGACATTGATAATGATCCATTATATTTTCCTCACACTTAACATGAAGGAGATGAAGAGAGGGTTCCCACTCAATAGATTCCTCCACTTTTCAGGTGGATTTGGAGAAGGGGCTGTGAGGACAGTTGCTGGTATGCCTGCACGATTCTCTCCACACAACTTCAACTCTCTATTTTATTCTCTGATGTGTGTTGCAGGTAAAAGGATGGTTCTTAAACAAGAAATTCTAAATACTTTTAAACATTCGTGTCACAAATCCTAAGCTCCTTGAGGGAGGTGTTGCACCTTCACGCTATCTGACAAAAGTGAGGTCACCAGTGAATGCACCTCCACTCCCTAGTGATCAAGAGAGCCCACCCGTTCTGTATCTGTGTAACTCTGCCCCATGTGGATGGAGTGGACAGAGGGGGAGACCTTGCTATACTGGATTTGCTTCCAGTGGGTATCTGTACCACCTCTTACAAAGGTGGAAATTTGGTGTTACATTCCACGTCAAATCAAGAGAAGGGAAATGGTGGCTGATGGTAGATGCACGAGTGGATGTTTTACACAAGGAGGGAGACATTGAGAGAGGCATAGAGCAAGAGGACATTGTCTCCTAGCAGAAGTAAAGTTGATGCCCACAGGGTGAATCCACATTTTGCTGAGACCACCACTGCTTTTAGAACCTGATGAAGCTGCATGGAAGCTGGTAAACCCGACTGGCTTTCCTCTGGGAGAAATGTTGGTCACATCAATGGAGATGAAATAGATCAACGTGCGATGACTGAGGGGAATCCTAGCAATGTGCCAGCAGCTTATAGCTCTCATGGCTCCTACTTTTCAGTTTATGTTTACTACAGAAGAAACCCTCTGGAAATAAATTTCTGAGAGCTGCTCTCACAAGGCCACGGGACCCTGTATTGTACAGTCAGCTGATGATCTGTGTACAAGTATGAACATTCACGACTGAAGGTTGAGTCAATTCTCCAGTGATAATGGAGAGAATATATCCCTTGCATGCTCAGCATGACACAGGGTACTGTTCACAAATACAAAAACACATACTATCATCATTCTTCTAGATGGAGCACTACTAAACAGAATAAAAGAGGTGTTCCTGCCCAACATGGGGCCTTCTGCTCGCTGCAAGACATGTGAATAGCCAAGAGGCAAGGTGGTAGGAGAAAATGGACTGTTTTGTTACAGCTTGCTAGCAAGAGGGAAGACGGCTGACTCATGTCCAAAAGAACCATCTTAAGGGGGCACAAATCTTACAGCAGTTATATAGGCCATTGTGTGATTGGGGAGGGGGTTAGGAATGTTGACTTGTGATGTTACAGACTGGGAGTGCCACACCAGATCTTTCAGTTTTCACTGATGATGGCTACCAGCATAGATTCTCTGTTCGGGGGTCATCACAGCCCTAAGAAACTCAAAAAAACGAAGTTATCATCTTATCGCAGATGGGAGGTACATGCACAAGCAGGGGTCGGAAAATCTGCAGAGCAGGTAGATGTCCTGGAGGGTGCAGATCCATCTGGGTTAGTTTGTCAGAGGTCATTCGAAGTTACAATAGAGTTTTTCTTTTCTAAAATATGGCTTCCCTTATGTCAACCTTGTCTTGAGCCGATATCAGAAGTATCTTAATTTTATTTAGTCTCTCAATGCAGAGACTCAGTATGTTTCTCCAGGATTTACGTATTTTTTATCTTTCATCAGTGTTTGTTTTAATTTTCCTCACACAGCTCCTATACATTTGTCCTAGATTTCACAGCTAAATTTTTATTGCATTGTAAAAGGCATTGCTTTTAAACTCAAATTCTGACTATTCATTTCTAGTATACTGGAAAGAAACTGAAATTGCACCCTGCCTCCTGGCTCGTCTCTGTAATTAGTTTCGGGGTGTTTGGGCAGATTCTTTGGTGTTTTCTATGATGACAACCCTGGTGTCTGTAATGAAGACTGTTTCATCTATCCCGTTACATCCTTTTGATAATTTTCACTAAAGCACTAATTCAGGAGAGAATGCCCCAACAGCAAAGGACTGGTTTTGCTGGTCAAACATCTTTATCTGCACAAAACTCCCTCTCAGGAGCGCTGTGGTCATCTAAGTTCTTCTGCCACTTCCCTCCACACTGTGTCAGACACACCTGCCAGTTTCTCTGAAATTTTCTTCCGACCTTAAGGTGGGATGAAAGTCTGGAAGCTCAGGAGCATGAGAACCTGTCTGAAGAGGAGGGTCTGCATTCTCTGATGCCTGAGCAGGGACACTGACCCCAGAGACGAGCCTCTGAGGCACAGGATCCCCTGTGGTTTCTTCCCCTGTTGAGGCCAGGGCTCCTAGAACATGCAAATTCCTCTCCAGCTCTATTTATATCACAGTAACAGTGTGGAGTGTTGTCGGTCCCTCTCTCTCTCTGTCTCCCTCTCTTTCCATCCTTGGATGAATAGCTCTAGGAAAGGCATTACACTCTCCCTTGAGAAGATGAGACTCTTCTGTTTCCTCCTTTGTCTATTGATGGCTTCCCAGTGTGAGCAGCTCAGGGACATCTGAAAAGAGGTGAGGGGAAGAGTGTGCTCAGTGTTTGGTACATAGTGATGGTTTTCTCTTATTCTAGGTGTCCTGTCCCAGTCTAAGTTTCAAGAGTCAGGCCCAGGGCTGGTGAAACCCTCAGAGACCATGTCCCTAACTTGCACCCTTTTGGGTTACCTTGTCACCAGTGGTGAACCCTCACCCAAGCAGAGGGGATAGAATGGCTGGGACATGGTTACTATAGCGGATCATCATGGAACACAGAGCACAGCCACTCCATCAAGGACCGCAGCTCCATCATGGCTGACATATCCAGGAACCAGTTCTCCCTGCAGCTGAGCTCTGTGACCACCGAGGACACAGCCGTGCATTGCTGTGCAAGACACAGTGAGGGGCAGTGTGAGTCCAGAAATAAACCTCCCTGCAGGAGACAGGAGGGGCTGGGCTTGAGGGGGCGCTCAAGACACCAGGGGGTACGCAAGACCAGCCAAGTAGCAGGGACCAGACCCAGGACAGGTGCAGAGGAGGTGAAGTGCTGGTCTCCTGCCAGCATCTGGGGCTTCCTCTCATCTAGCGGTTTTCCCGGGAACCTTTCCAGATTAATGATTCTGTGCCTTCCCCTGACGCCTCTGAATTCAAAAAGATTTGTTGTAATAGGGTGAAATATTTTCAAATGCACAAAAGACAGACTGTGACTAAGAGAGGCATAAATATCTAATCAGGCTCCCTTTTTCTTTTTTCCGTTCTTTTTTACTTTCTTTCTGGTGGTCCCTGCTTGGCCTCCTCTGTCTCCTCCCCCCTGCTCTGCCCTCCACCTGGGAAACAGCTTGCTCATGGGTGTGTCTTGTGTTTGAGGAATGAGAGTCTCTGTTCCCACTTGTGAGGTTCCAGGTGCACCTACTGCGACCCTCCAGGGGCAGGGACGCCCTTCCAGAACATGACGTCACCTGAGATGTACATGGCTCCTCGCCTGTTGTGCTTTCTGAATCCCAGCTTCCCGGGAGAGGGAACGTGACTGTAGCAGGTCCATGGTGACCTGCGGTGGTACTGTGGTTTCCGGTCTGACATGTAAAGATCGTGGAAATCATCACTCTTATTCCTACAAAAAAAAGCTGGAAAAACTGAAAATTAGTGACTTATCCTTGACTGATCAGAGGAATTTCATGGAAACCTCCACCCCAATAACTGGGAACACGGGCACATCCAGAGTCCCAGGTGAGATCAGCTTCCTGGAACAGAAGCTGCTGGAGGCACAGATGGGGAGCACTTTCAGGGTCACCGTGAGCGGCTGGAGGACAAGGGTGGATGACGTGAGCGTGAGAGCTCCTGGGGCGACACCCCACAATTTTGTGGGATCTCCCTCCAGAAACCTCCAGGTCCAAGATGAAGTTCCACATATATCCCCTCATGTCTGTGATGGTAGAGGGGAGGACTTATCACTGAGAAATCCACCCAGAAACTTTCCCAAGCAGACCCTCTGGGGGAGGGAATTTTCCAGAACCTTATGGATGGGGGAAGGGAATTATTTCCCATTCTACACCCACCCCACAGGATTTCTGTATCACCCAGTGGGTAAAGGATTTTGAACAAGGTGAACATATTCAAGGAGAAAGACTGGGTACCCTGCAGCCCGGGAAGGGAGTAGGGGCGGGGAAGTGACCTGAAGTATGGGAGAAACATGTGAAGGTCAGAGGTTAAAGGCCAGCACCACCACATCACTGAGAGTTGGTCCTGAGATTGTATAACACCCCTCCGCACACACAACCACCACACCTGTATCATGAGAGTGGATGAAGTCTGAAAGTGCTACAAGAGGCAGACTCTCTGAGGAGGAGAACTTAGGGACGCCCAGGGACAACAGAGGAGACAAGATAGGGACAGAAGAGCGGTTTGAGCCTCTGACAGCTACAGCTTCCAGACCAAACTGATGATGGCTCTCTCATGGGCCATACCATTCTTTGCTCTTTCCTTCATGTTCTGTGACAAAGATCCTTCCTCCCCCTGGAATCTGTGGTGCATTCAGGACTATGCATCAGGGTTCAACCAGAGACACAGATTCAGGAAGAGACAGGATTTCCCACAGGGAACTGGCTGGTGAGGTCGTGGGTGACTGAGCAGTGAGTCTGTCTCCACGTGGGATGGGGGCCTGGAGTCCACAAAGCAGGTGGTGAGGGGGGAGGTGACCAGCAGGATGGAGACCTGAGGACTGAGGAGCTCGAGTCCATCCTGGTGACGCGCAGAGGCCAGGGTGTCCCTCATGGAGCTGATCTCCCTCACCTGCCTGCTGCTGCCCCACCCACCAGGTGGCCCTGCAGAGCAGCCTCACCTGAGTCTGCTGACAATGGTGCTGCCTCCTCATCTGTCTTCTCAGTGGTCTCCCCTCCCTCAGGGGTGGGGTCTAAGGAACCCCTGTAGCGGGCCCAAGAGTGGTCAGTGGTGTGGTTTTGCCATTTCTCACAATCTGTGGGACAAGACTGGCCCTTGTCCCGGGGCAGCTTCAGGATTTCAGGTGCTGCAGGAACAGACAGACCCAGCGCACGTGCTCCCCCCAAGTCTGTGCTTGAAATCTTGTTCCTTTTATTCTGTCTGAAAAGCAGGTCACATCTCAGGCGAAGGTCAGCGTGGGGGCACTGCCCATGTGCAAGATACAGGGAAGAAGAGCAAATTTGGTATTTTTTTGCTGCAAATATCAGGCAGTGTGTGTGTGTGTGTGTGTGTGTGTGTGTGTTATTGGATAGTGAGTGTGGATTGGACAGGGAGCCCCATCATTTCTATGTACATGTATCTCTCATGTGATGATAAACCAGAGGAACCTAAAGGAGATGTAAGGCTCCCCCAAAGCTCCCCAGGGTTTCTGACTACCCATGAGTGTGGACCATGTCAGGGCATCTGGCAGCTCCATGGAAGGGGCTCTCTGGTGGTTTCATAAAATCCTTGTTCAGGGTCTCCTTGCAGAGCTTGTGGGTTTAGTAAGGCCAGTTCACTATTTCAAGAGATGATGTCAAATCACATGGTGACACTAAAGGGGCACCCTGAAGTCAGGGCACAGCCATTAACACTGGACTAGAGACACTGAGAGGGAAATGCCCTGTGAGTCCATACAGGAGCCTCCTTGCAGGGTGGGGGCTGGACTACAGGGGGAGCTCAGGACCACCCAGCACAGGACTCCAGCCCAGGAGCAGGTGCAGAGGGGGCTGGGGAGGGGCTTCCTCTGAGAGACTGGATCTTCCTTCTTTAAAAATAACATAAGCAATGTAGGACAAGGACTGCTGAAGGGCGTTTAAGTATCCTACTCTACAAGGAGACTTTCCTAACTCAAGTCAGTGAGAACCACATTTAAAATGAGAATTTCTAGGGCTGCTAGATTTCTTAACTTTGCAAAGTTGGAAGACAAGTATGGTTTCATTATTTCAACAGCAGCAGCATTTGGGGAGACACTCTGATCCCAGGAGTAAGACATTCAGAGCAGATTCAGGTGGTCTCCACTCCATTCAAAGGTGGATTCACAATGAGGTCCTCGCCTCTGGGGCTTGTTCCTTTGTAGGAGGAGTTGTGTCTACACAGAGTTCAGGGACATGGCAGGGAAGACATGTCCTCAAACTGGGATTAGGACTTGGGTCCTCAGCCTTCCACTTAGCATGGTCTCTGAGTCTTTGATCTTTTCTCAGGATGGTCCATGGCTTAAGTATGAAATATTAGACTCAAGTATATGCAAATGAGCTGAGCCATACAAATATGGACAAGTCTATGCCCTTAGATCATCACCCATCAACCATCCCCTCTCCTACAGAAGCCCTGAGAGCACAGCCCCTCACCATGGACTGGAGCTGGAGAATCCTCCTCTTGGTGGCAGTGGCTACAGGTAAGGGTTTCCCCAGTCCCTGGGGTCAGGAGGAGACCAGGGCCAGCAAAGGGGGATTCCATCCACTCTTGTCTCCTCTCCACAGGTGTCCACTCCCAGGTCCAGCTGGTGCAGTCTGGGGCTGAGGTGAGGAAGCCTGGGGCATCAGTGAAGGTCTCCTGCAAGGCTTCTGGATATACCTTCACTACCTTATGCACTGGCTGCGACAGGCCCCTGGACAAGGGCTTGAGTGGATGGGAGGGATATACTCTGAATATGATGTTACAAGCTACACACAGAAGTTCGAAGGCAGAGACACCATGACTCTGGACACGTCCACGAGCACAGCCTACATGGAGCTGAGCAGTCTGAGGTCTGAGGACACAGCCGTGTATTACTGTGCGAGAGGCACAGTGTGATAACCCACATCCTGAGTGTGTCACAAACCCTGAGGGAGAGGGCAGCTCTGCTGGCTGAGGAGATGACAGGGATGATTATATCAAAGGCTTCCTTAGAGAACAGGGTTAAGTAATTGATGGAAAGCAACAATACATACATGTTTTCACTAATTACGTTGGAAATTTTCCATAAACCAATCACCATTTGAGCAAAGTTGAGGAGCTGGGGAAAGGCTCAGATCAGCAATCTGATGTCAGTGTTCCCGAGAATGTGTCTGTGTGAACGTAAACTTCGCAGTCATTTGGGTAGACTCCTGGTGGCCCGCTCCTCAATCACAGTGTGAGTCTCTGTTTAAGTCCACAGGTAATAGTCCAAGGTCTTCCAGAGTGGCTGCCATCTTTGTTCCCCCAGCAATAGATGTGGTTTCCTGTTGCTGCCCATGCTCACCAGCATTTGAGTTGTCAGTGTACTGTGCTGTCGTCCCTCTGATAGGGAGAAGTAGTATTGCACTGTTGTGTTATGTCAGGTTTCCCCAATGAAATTGCATGTTGATCCCCTTTTCATGTCCTCTTCATGAGTTGTCTATTCAGATCATTTACCCATTTTAATGGAATTGTTCTTTATTGTTCAACTATAAGTTTCCTTGTTTATTCAAGATATAATCCTTTCACCAAAGCATGATTGAAAGCATAGTCTCCAAGTCTGTGTCTTTACTTCACATTCTCTTATCAGTGTGTTTCTCAGAACAAAAGATTTTAATTTTGATCAAGTAAAGTTTATCAAGCTCTTCTCTCATGGACCATCGTTCTGGTATGATATGTAAAACTTGACTTCGAAGTTCAAGATCACCCAGAATTTCTCCCATGTCCTTAAGCCGAGGCCACAATCAAGGGAGGGAGGTCATTCTGCACCTCCTTGTAAGGAATATATCAATATTAATCTGGACTGGAGATTTGTTGTTCATTCACCAATGGCTTTATTTATTCAATCATATATTATTATCAGTAATTGCTCTTGCAAATTCATTTCAAAATTTGTGTTAAGATACAATGTTAAATACTCATTTTGTGGCACAATATTTTCAGATTTTTAGCCACTGGGAACTCTTTCTCTTTGGCCCCTGTATTTATTTTACGTGCTCCCATCCTTTTGAATTTTGAATACTTTCTTACTTTCTGGTCCTACAAGAATCTGTAGGCTCATCTTTTATGTTCTCCTCCCCAGCCCTAGAAGTAGATGATTTTCAGATGCATCATGGCTCCTTCCACTGGGAATGTTATTAGGAACTGAGACTCTGTGTATTGGGATATTGATGGGGGTGTCTTATCCTTATCAGGTGTTATTGTCTGTAGGAGCTCTCAGTTAACAAAGCTGGAGGATACTGTGTGTACACTAACCCATGGACTCATATAGCCCTGTAACTATTTCTGTATCCAAACTTCTACACCTACACTAACGTCGACGTGAGAACATACAGATGTCTACAGCTCTAACCCAATACCACACGGACCTCTCCAGCCTTCCTCTGTGCTTGTTTGGAACTCCCCACTCCAACCCTGAGGAAGCTGGCTGCCACCATATGCCAAGCCTGTGCTTAGTTGTTCCTTGCAACATGTATAGTGGTTGAAGACCTGTGACCCGTATCCCTGTTGGAAACACCTTTATCACCTAGAGCACAGTGCTGGTGCACAGTCTCTTTAGCCTTTATCTTACAGACTCCACTCATTTCCAAAGTCACTTAGGCCAGCACATTCTAGCCCTGCCCTCTTCAGAGAAGCTATTTCATAGATGTGTAGCTGAATCAGATGTTTTTATACAATCTGCATCCCATCCTGGAGTCCCTGATCTCTTCAATGTTTTTTTTGTTGTTGTTGTTAATTCTATACATTAAGGTTCACTTTTTGTGCTCTAACACTCCATGGGTTTTGGCAAATTCATAGCATTATGCGTCCCCCATTGGGACCTCATACGTAATTGTTTCTCCACCTTCTGAAATGCCTGTGCTGTTTCACCTCTTCTTCACATTTTCCACAAATTCTTGGCAAACCTGATCTTTTTAGTATATTTATAGTTTTGCCTTTTCCTAAATATCAAAAAAAAAGAAATCGTATATTAATTAGCATTTTTAATAACTTATTTCATTAATATGAAATATTTATTTATAAATTTATAAAAGTGTAAATTTATTTACTTATAAACAAAGGCTTATTTTATTTTTATTAAATATTAACTTATAGTTATTGATTTATTTAATTTAATATGCATTTAAATTTTATTCTTGCCTTTTCATAGTTTGATAACTGATTTTTTGTGTCTGTGTGTATGAGGAAGATCAGCCCTGACCTAACATCCATGCCGATCCTTCTCTTTTTTTGCTGAGGAAGACTGGCCCTGGGCTAACATCTGTGCCTATCTTCCTCCACTTTATATGGGACACCGCCACAGCATGGGCTGACAAGCGGTGCATGGGTGTGCGCCCAGGATCCGAACCCGGGCCGCCAGCAGCAGAGCACGCACACTTAACTGCTATGCCACAGGGTCGGCCCCATACCTCATTTTTGAAATTGCTGAATAGAATTTCGTTGGATACATATACCACAAATTTTTATCCATTCAGCCATGGAAGAACATTTGGTGCTTCCAGAATCTTATCATTATTAATGAAGCTACTATAGTTATTTATTGTTTTTTGTTGACATAAGTTTTCAATTTAGTTATATAATTACCTAATACTGGGATTCCTGGATCATATAATAAAACTGTTTAGGTTTGTAAGAAACTGCCCTCAGTAATGACTGTGGAGGTAAGGCCACTCAGCTGACCCAGTGACCTGGCCGGGAGGAAGCCCAGTGCACAACCTAGGTCCACCGGGTGTGGATCTATGGCCCAGCTCTCATCCTTGGCTGGGCTTCCAGCCAACAATCAAGACCAGACATGTGAACGCACATTTTGGAACATATCTTCCAGACCCCATTTCAGCACCTCTAGAGAGCACATCCCGGGTAGCAACGGGCCTTCTCCTCGAAGCCTCGTTCAAATCACAGAGTGCTCAACAACGCAAGTGTCTGCTGTTGTTTTAAGCTGCCAGGAGTTGTGGCAATGTCTTGTGCCTCAATCAACAACTGGAACAAATATGACCCATTTTCACACGGAATCCTCTTTCCCCATTTCATACATGAGGGGTACGTGGCACAGTTTGAATAAATGCATGGACAGAGATCACACTGAATGTAGTAATACTGTGAAACCATACCAGACAATCCAACTCGAGAGTTCACAGTGTTTCCTCTTCATGATTCAGGGAGGACCTGGGAGCTCACAGTAATTGCATTTGCATCTCACCTTATAGGAAGGATACGTGTAGTGAGATAACATCACCTGATTTACATGTTAGAAGGACCACATTGACCACAGCAATGAAAATAGGAGACAATTGTGACAGTAGATATCAGGGAAGATGGTGACGTGGTCTGGTTTGCAAGCCCACCACGACATGGGGTTATGATTGTCTAGTCACCCCCAACAAGCAGCTTTATGAGCCACTGGGCTTTCTGGAATTCCCAGGACACCCTCTGCCATCCCAGCCCACACTGTGAGAACCTCGCTGTTTCTGTGACTGTTAGACAGAGACACAGGAGGGTGTCCTGTGATCCATCCTCTTGACTGTTTTGGGGCCTATGTGTCTTCGTGGAAAATAAGTTATTAACAGGTGACCCATCCCCTCAGAAAACATTGGCGAAGGGACGTTCAGGTGTCAATCTCAGTTTGCTGGAATCCCCCGATTTCTCATGCAGAGATAATAATAGAGATTAAAGTTAGGTAGAGAATGATGGGAAAATGGACCATTGGGAGGTTGGATGCACGTTTCTAAGTTTGACATGAAGGAGGGGACGAGGCTGAATGTGAATGATAAATGGGGTTTAACAACTATATAAGTGGGACAGTATTACTGCTGATAGATTGACTAATAGGAATTAAATGTCAGAAAGTGTGAATCAGTGATGAGCTGAGGGGACAAAATGCAGGACCAAGGTCCCTGAGGAGCCATTAGGAGGCTGCATTCAGAGCACGAGGGAACACACTGAAGTTTATTGGAATTTCTCACATTTTAGAAGCACCCAAGTCCTTTGGGGAAGGGGAGGTTTAAAACAGTGTCTATGCTCCTCCCTAAATCTTGAGAATGAGTTGTCTGAGTGAGACACAGACCCCATCTTCACCCAGGCTCTGTTTCCTGATGTAGGCCTCCTTGGGTGTGAGATCTGGAGTTCCGCCCTTGTCCAGTATCTGCTTCCCTCCCACCTGGTGCCTGTTGATTTCTGACTCTCTGAGCTCTGGCTTCTGAATCTTGACTCATTTTATGTGATTGTCTGACCTTCTTTGTGTTGGTCTCACAGGAGTCTCTCCCAGGAGCCCCGGGTCTCTGAGCAGCTGGAGAGTTGAGGTCCTGTCTTGTCTGGGACAGAGTGTCCAACTTCTCCAGCCCCTCAAACACATGGAATTGCTGGGATGGATCTGACCTCAGCCCTTGGGAACTGGGTTATGATGGTTGTGATGCACTTGGGTGTGTTGGCGGTGGATGAAAACCATAGTCCATGGAAAATACCTAAGAACTTTGAGGGTGTGGCCTGAGGGTGGACAGGGTGTAAAGAAGGAAAGGTGGGTTTCAGATGTGTGATATAATGAGATACCCAAGGGGCCATCATGTGATCAACTCATAACAACCCCACAAATCACAAATGCACAGGAGGGGTGGAGCACAAGGCTGACCTGTAACCACAGACATCTCCCACATAATCACATGTTAGTCAACAATGGACAGCATGTATGACGCTGGTCCCATAAGATTAGTTCCATAAGCATAGGTGTGTCGTAAGCTAAACAATCTAGTTTGCGTAAGTACACTCTATGATGTTTGCACAATGATGAAATCTCCTAACAGTGCATTTCTCGGAAATTATCCCCACCATTGACCAGTGCATGGCTGTATAATAACTGCAATGAAATAATGTATTGAGCTCTCAGGGTGATGAGAACCACTTCACTGGAGAGGGTACAGGGAAAAAGGCAGGAGCTGTGCTGGACTCAGCACTTAGGAATTGAGACACAGAGACTGAGTAGATGAGGAGAGTTGGGCTGAGATCAGAGAAGGGCAGGACAGAGGAGGAACTCGAAGGAAGGTAGCTCTGGGCTCAGAAAGGTGCAACCACCCTTGACATGGATCCAAAACGTCTCATAATAAAGTGGTCTCCCATCCTGGACTTATAACTGAGAGATTAATGGAAGGGACATTCTTTGAGGTCTTGGAAGGACTAGGGGGAGCCGGAACTTAGTCCCTCCCCACTTATAAACACAAGTCTCTCCCACATGCAAATTTTTCTTCAAGCTCAAGGGTAAAATCCCCTCTTGGGCTGTGAGAGCTCACAGCTCTCTCCTCAGACAGGGCTGAGGTCTCTGGGGAAGGCAGAGCTGTGGTCTAGTGAAGGTGAGACTGTTTGGTCTTCTCCATTGCCTGCTGACGGCTCCCCAAGGTGAGTGTCTCAGATGTCAGACCTGGGTCTATGTGGATGGTTGTGACTGCATGTGACTGACAGGGACTGATTCTCCTTGTCCCAAGTGTCCTGTCGCAGGTGCAGCCCTTCCCAGGCCCAGGGCTGGTGAAGCCCTAGCAGACACTCTCCCTCACCTGTGCTGTCTCTGGATACTCCATCAGCCGTGGTTACTACCGGTGCTGGATCCGTGAGCCCCCAGGAAAGGGGCTAGAACGGCTGGGTGGTGGTTACTTTAGTGGATCATCATGGAATACAAACTACAGCCCCTACACCCAGGGATGCATCTCCGTCACTGCTGACACGTCCAAGACCCAGTTCTCCCTGCAGCTGAGCTCCATAACCACCAAGGACACAGCCGTGTATTACTGTGCAAGAGACACAGTGAGAGGAAGTCGGTGTGAGCCCAGACACAATCCTTCCTGCAGGAGGGGCTCACAACCACCAGGGGGTGCTCTTGACCCACAAGGCTCAGAGACCTGACCCAGGAGCAGCTGCAGAGGTGGGTGGGGAAGGGGTTTCCTGTGGGATCAGGGCTTTCCTCTCCAAGATGTCCCCTGCCCTCAGAGACAATTCTTGTTTTGTTTTGGGGATCTAATTCCTCACATTGCCACATAGCCAAAGAAAAAAGAAGTAACATTGTCTGTTTGCAGATGAGACATCACCAGGGACTAGGGACATTTCCTTCACCAAGTTCCTATATGTCCTGATTTTCTTTCTTGACAAAGAGAACATACTCAGGGCTCTCATCTTCTCTGTGGTAGGGAAACCTTTCCCACAACCAGAGACACCAGGCAGTCCATGCACCTGTGTGCCGAGCTCAGGCTCTCTACCCCACAGCACACACTGTCCCCACATGGACCCTTCCTTCAGACAGGATCCATTGACCCTGTGGCGTTATGATCAGCCTCTCCCAAGACCTCGGACCATAGGGTCTCTGTCATCTCTACAACACTTTAACCTTTTGCTCCTCATTTACTCTGGTGGATGTCAAAACCCACCCCAGGATCTGCCCCATGGCCTAGTGGTTGAGTCCAGCACGTGCCACTTTGGTGGCCTGGGGTTTGCAGGTTTGGATCCTGGGCGTGGACCTGCACCACTCGTCAAGCCACTTTGTGGCAGCAACCCACATACAAAATAGAGGAAGTGTGGCACAGATGTTAGCTCTGGGCCAATCTTCCTCAAAAAAAAAAAAAAAAAAACCTCCGCAATCTCACCCTCTGCCTTCTACAACCTAAATTCTCACTGAGTCTGTCCTAGACCCTGAGCTCCTTGGGGCTGGAGCCCTGCTCCCTCCTCCCAGCTCTCCCCACAGCACCAGGCCCAGAAGGGAGGTTCTGTGAAGATCTGGGCATTAACGTGCCCCCACTTCATCTCCTAACGTCCGTCTAATGTCTCTGTCCACTTGTGGACGCCCCAGCAGGTTACACTCAGGTGGTCTGAATCTGTCCTCAGTCGCCCTGCTGAGCTCATGCTGTGCACACATATGATTACAGATCACACGGGCACTGTTACAGAGCAGACCTGTGTCAGGTGGGGCCACAGCCAGCTGCCGACCCCAGGAACCCTCAACAGCTCACATGCTTTATGGCAGAGGACATGCAGATGGACCCACCTGCTGCAGAGCATCGTCAAGGACACTTCATCGGTGACCACGGTGAGATAGAGGTCAGGGAACAGGGAGGGTGTGCTGCTCACTCCTCATGTCTCAGTGACCAGCCCCGATATACACTCAGGTAATTGTGAGCTAAATTCATGGAAAAGACTTGAAGTAGGACTGAAATTGGATTTTCTAGAACTGAAGGTATATTTAGGAGCATTTTTTTTTAATTATAGCAAAGGCAAATAAGCTAAGTGTATTTAAGAAGTTGGATAAGGAATAAAAATAATTCATTATTATTAATGGAAACATTTTTAAAATATTATTTTCTGACTTTTCTTTAGACTTACTAAGATTCTCTAAAAGTATCAATCAATTTAATGGCACACTTAAAGAGCCAACCACAAAAAGATCTTGTGCACATCAAATCAACCAGCTATACTCCAATTTTTTCAATTAACAAGAACACTGTAAATGCTGCAAGGTGTTCTCATTGTCTGTCCTCAGATTCCTATTCTCTTCTTAGAGCAAAGTTCTGACCTCATATGTCGGTTTTTTCCTCCAAAATTCTTTGGTGGATGGAAAGAAATCTTGATATATCTGCTTACATCATACAGCCTGTATGGCTCAGAGCAAATGCTAGGGGACACGTCACTTCCACAGTCCCTTCCCAGGACACCTGATGAGATGAGACCAACATGGGGTTACCAGAACAAAAGAAAGCACTTTCTTGGTGGAGAACTAGGCTAAAGATTTGGGAGTCTTGTAAAGCCATTGGACTGAAAATACACAGAAACAAGAACTGTGCCTTAGAAGTTTAATTCTCTGCTCTCACTGTCATTAAATACTTAATTTTTAACATCATATTCATTTTACACTGGGCCTGGAAATTGCATAGCTGGTTTTTCTGGTGAATTTAGCTTTAGAATCATGTAAATGGCCTTGGCGTATTCAGGGATAAATGCAGTAAGAAGATTGGAAACAGGGTGGGTGTGATGAGAAGTTTTGAGATTTTTAGTTCAGGCAACCCCAGGTGTTGGCTTTTTCTCTGGGTTGCATAGAATAAAGAGAAGTTTGAGCTTCCCACAGAAATAGCCTCCTATTTATTCTGAAGGATATTTCTTTATCCACTACTCATGGGGATGGTCCACAACCCCTAATCCAAGGTGAACAGTATTGATTCACCATATCAGTTAAGCCATTTGACCTGTTTAGATCTATTTTTGTAGACGCTAGCCTGCGCTAGTCAAGTCACACTGTGTCTTGGATAAATATGTGTTAATCTGTGCGATCAAATAAAAACAGAACACATGGAAGGTCCAGAAGTATTGATATACTAGATCCAATAACTTATAGAAGCCTTCACACAGCACACAGTGATACAGCACCCAGAATCAGAGCCTGAAGCCTGAGTACAACAAAAATGTTATCTGAACCCAGAGTCCAGAGAGGAATCTTGGTGCTCATGTCCTGGTTGCTCAGGAATTCTGAACAAGGAGCTCCCTGATGCACGACTATGTTTCAGGCATCCCCATGATTTGTAGCAGAAGATCAAGGATATAATTGTTTCTGCTACAAAAATTGGGGACTGGAATGGGCAAGTTGCTTCTGGGGGAGTGTTAAGATGGACTCCCACTACGGGAAAGTCTGCCCCTTTCTAATGAGATCTAACACGCAAATGCCATGTGACCCAACGATTCCAATTCTTGTTATGTAACTGGAGAAGATAAGAACTGAGGTTCAGTGCATTCAGTCAACAATACTGCACTCTATTGTTAAATTTTCCTTGAGAGAATAGGTTTTATGTTAAATGTTCTTATCAAAAAAAGAGGGAGACAGGAAACTTTTGGAGGTTATGATTACATTGATATTACTGCTTGTGGGGATGGTTCCATGTGTGTATACTTATCTCCAAACTCATCAAGGTGCATACATCAAAAATGTACACTTTTTCGTAAGTCAATCATACCTCAATTAAAAAGAAACTTACAAATTATGTTTACACAGAAATCTGTATGCAGATGTTTATGGCAGCCTTATTTATAAACAATACAAAGTGGAAGCAGCCAAGATGTCCTTCAAAATACGAATGAATAAATAATGGATGCTGTATAGTAATAAAATGGAGAAAAATGGGGCATATGCAAGAACACAGATGATTCTCACGTGCATCACCCTACACGAAAGCATCCAGCTCCAAAGTCTTCACACTGTGTGTCTCCATCCATATACCACGGAATCTGCAAAACTAAAGGGACACCACGATGATCAGTGGTTGCCAAGGGCTATGGAATTGAAAACGGTTAGACTAGAAGAGGAAATGATGTATTTCTTTGGCGCTATGGAAGTATCTACTAACTAGATTGTGGTGTTGGTAACAAGACTGTGTTTGCTTACCGTATTTACACTATACTTCGATAAAAGTGTAATTTTCTTGCTTACATGTAAATATTAATAATATTATATTCAATGAGATTTGTCTCAAAACTACGTATTCTACTCAGTCTTGGCTTTGTGATTGTTCAAGGACTATAGATAGCGGATTTTTTCTAAAAATAGACAAAGTAATTTAATGCAGTTAACGAAAATGAGAATTTCTAATGTAGCACTCTTCGGTTGAGTATCTGAGATGGATTAGATGTTACATTCTTTAAAGAATTAAATCAAGATAATTGATGGCTAGATATTGGCAAGTTTTACCCACATCAGTTCTTTAGGTATTTATTTATAATAAATAAATTTATTTATTTTGTAAATAAATTTACAAATTATACTGAGTATTGTTGCCCAAAGGACAACAAACTCATTGGTAATTCCTCAAGGAATGACAGATGCTTACCTGAAGGAGGACTGCAGGTGATGCACATAAGGATGCTCCTCATAGGAAGAAGGGTCACTGGGCATGAGATTTAAAGGATCGTAAATATTAGAGAATAAGGGCACTGATGGGAACAGAGGAGGACAGAGCTCTTTTTCCTGATGATCCCAGAGCCCAGGACACCCCGAGATGTAGGAACCTGAGACCACCAGGAATGGGAAGCATCAAGACCATTGAGGGGGGCCTGGTCTGTAGGGGGTGCTCTGGCCACTCTCAGCGTAGGACCCAGACTCAGGGGCAGGTCCCGAGGTAGGCTGGGGCGTGTGGGGCTTCCTGTGGGAGTCTGCATTCTCCTTTCCTATGAGCAAATTAATGTCTAGAGTCCATCTTTACTCTCCTGCCTCTGAGCCTCAATTCTCATATAACACCAGATACTGAGAAAGTGGAACAATTTCTCCTGTGCCATCATCATTTCCATATTTGGAAGATGCTCAGTTTTACAATGCATAGCCTTTGTTTTTATTTTTATATTTTCTCCATTTAAAAGTGTATTTCTCATGAAATCAGTTTGGTTTCTCTGACCTATACTATAGGCTGTCTTAAGGGAAGTGTGATCACAGAGCCTTGGACAAAATTAGACAGCCTCCAACTTCTAGAATGAGGAATATCCCAGCCACCTGTGTTGAAAATGTAGCTACTCAGATAAAATAAACGTCATAGCGCTCAACGTGAGAGAAGTAGGGTTGTGAGGACTCCTTTCTTTTCACAATTATATATAGATAACACACCAACATTGTTGTCAAAACATCTGTCTGTGTGAAAATATAATTTCAAAAATGTAGTGATTGTGGACATTTTTATATATTTCTATGATTTTGATGACATGATGAACCATGATGCAAACCCCCTGACATGTCTCTGCAGTGGCTCCTCAATGTTCTTTCACGTGTACGTGGAGTCTATACTCATCTAGCTCAACGTTTACTTTATCAGCCTGTGCCTTCAGGACTGTGGATGTGGTCTGTGCAATTTCAGATCAGTCACCTGAAGTTAGATTCCAATATCTTCCAGGGAAGCCCCCGATCATTTTTTACAAGGTGGTTTCTTGAATATTGTCACCTCCTTGCCTAGTTACTAAAGGATTCTGGGCTGTATTAAAATAATTGTTATAGGGGGCCGGTCCCGTGGCGTAGTGGTTGAGTGTGTGCTCTCCGCTGCTGGCGGCCTGGGTTCTGATCCTGGGCGCGCACCAGGACAATGATGTCAAGCCATGCTGTGGCAGCATCCCATATAAAGTGGAGGAATATGGGCACAGATGTTAGCCTAGGGCCAGTCTTCCTCAGCAAAAAAATAGGAGGATTGGCATGGATGTTAGCTCAGGGCTGATCTTCCTCACACACAAAAAAAGTAAATAAATAAATAAAATAAGATAATTGTTATAAGATTTTTCTATGAAATAATTCACTCCAGGCCACATTCCCTCCCTCTGTTAATTGCCTGTGTCTTGGGACAATTCTGAGTTGCAGAAATGGAGAAAAGGATTCTTGTACCAACAATTTTTTAAGACTCGTTCCCAGTAGAAAAAATCAAGAGTGTGAGGTCAATGGGCAGGTGAGTGGAAGGAGATGAGCACAGGTGTCATGTCCACAAATCCCCAGAAAGGAGCCTCACCCTATCCTGCAGAGGGGCTCTGGGGGTGAGGAGGGCTCAGGTTTTATACTCCTGAGACAAGGGAGCTGAGATTTCACATTCCCGCTCATGTGGCTAATGGTGAATAAAGCTGACCATGAGTGAGGCACATCCCATCGAATGTGTAATCAAGATATGCTGGCTTCAGGTGAGTGATGGATTCAGGACACCTGTGGGTCCACCTGAAGTTTTCAACATGTGGTGTCTTCTCCAATCACAAGGGCACACAATGGATGGAGCACAAGGCCCACCTGGAACTTATGTATCACAAGAGTACAACAAGGTAACAAGCTCTCAGTGTGATGAGAACCACATCACAGAAGAGATTACAGCGAAAGAGAGCAGGAGCTGTTCTGGGCCCAGCATGAGGGAGTCAAGACCTGGATGCTGAGTGGATGGCAGAGAGTTGGGCTGGGGCCAAAGTGGAGACGGAGGGACAGAGGCATGAAAGAAGGCAGCTCTCTTAGAAAGGTGAGGAGTACTCAAATCTGTTTAAAAAGAGCCTCAAAACCCAAGTTTCCTGCCATCCCAGACTGAAAAGTCACCTATAGTCAGGAGGAGAAATGCCCAGAGAGTCCCTGGAAGGACTGTGGACACTGACCTCAGTCCCTCCCCACTTATAAGGACAGGGCTCCACATATGCAAATTTCTCTTCAAGCTCTAGAGTAAAATGTACTCTCGGGCTGTGGGAGCTCACGGTTCTCTCCTCAGACAGGGCTGAGGTCTCTGGGGAAGGCAGAGCTGTGATCTAGAAGAAGATGAGACTGTTGGGTCTTCTCCTTTGCCTGGTGACGGCTCCCCAAGGTGAGTGTCTCAGATGTCAGACCTGGGTCTATGGGGATGTATGTGACTGCACGTGACTGACAGGGACTGATTCTCCTTGTCCCCAGGTGTCCTGTCTGACCTGACACTGCAGGAGTCGGGCCCAGGACTGGTGAAGCCCTCGCAGACCCTCTCCCTCACATGCACTGTCTCTGGAGTCTCCATCACAACCAGCAGTTACTACTGGAATTGGATCCGCCAGCTACCAGGAAAGAGCCTGGAGTACATAGGGTTCATAAGCTATATTGGGAGCGCTTACTACAGCCCGTCCCTCAAGAGCCGCACCTCCATCTCCAGAGACACGTCCAAGAACCAGTTCTCCCTGCAGCTGAGCTCCGTGACCACCGAGGACACAGCCGTGTACTACTGTGCAGGATACACAGTGAGGGGAAGTCAGTGTGAACCCAGACACAAACCTCCCTGCAGGAGACAGGAGGGGCTGGGCTGCAGGGGGCGCTCAGGACCACGAGGGGGCGCTCAGGACCCACAGACCACAGGGCCAGGCTCAGAAGCAGGTGGAGGGAGGGAATGGGGAGGAGCTTCCTGTTGTGATCAGGGATTTCCTCTCCTCTCAACCTCTCAGCTGCCTCCAGGAACATATCTCACTTTGTTCTTTGTGGCTCTAATTTATCACATTGTCACTGCAGGCGAGAGAGGAGGGAGTACATTTCTTTGTTTACAAATGAGATGCGACCAGTCACTAAGGCTTTTTCTTCACCAAGTTTCTATTTGACTGATTTGTCCATTTTGACAAACAAAATATCCTAGGGACTCTCATCATCCCTTGATTTGTGTTCTTGACTGAATTTGGTCCCACACTCAAATGAGTATATTGAAGCCTGAAGCCCCAATGTGACTGCATTTGGAGATAAAGCCTTTAAAGAGATAAGTAAAGCTAAATGCCGTCATGAGATCGGGTCCTAATTTGGACCTAATTTTGGACTCTTGTCCATATTAGCAGAGGAAGAGACATAAGATCTCTCTCTCTTTCTTTTCCACCTGCACAAAGAGGAAAGTCCACGTGTGGACACCACAAGAAGGCAGCCATCCACACACCAGGGATAAAGCTATCACCAGACTCCAACCCTGCCAGGACCTTGTCTTGGAACTTCAGCCTCCAGAACTACAAGAAGATAAATGACATTCAAGCCACTGGGTCTGTGGTGTCTTGTTAAGTCGGCCTGAGCTGACTAATACAATTGGGAAAGATCTCCCCCAAATGCCACTTCAGTTCGGACACAGAGTGTCCCTACTGGGCCTCTTCCCTCAGACAGGCAAATATCTGTCCCCAGGAAGTTATGAGAGAACAATGCATAGAGCTAGTCTCCGTGTGCTACACCCAAGAAATGGAGTTCAAGGTCAGAAAAAAAAAATCGTGGCGATGGGGACAAATGTTGCATGGGAAGACGAGCAATTCCAGACTCTTTCTTATTAATGTATTTCCTATCACCAATCCAGACCCCGTCTCACAAGTTCCATCCTGCCATATCCTGAGATCTCCACTGGAATGTGCAGGGACGAGCAGACACACTGGGGTTACAGTCCTGGTCTGTACACTCTGGAAGAACGTAAAGTCATTCCATTTATAACAAGTCTACCTGCTCTCCACTCCCCTGCCGTTCCCTCTGTAGACCCACCTCCCTTCCTGCTTGTCTGGAAATGGGAAGACCAGGCGGAGACAGTCACAGAGGCTTTGTCCCCTGTGTTCTTCTAAGGCGAATAAGAAAAGCACTCTCCCCTGGGGACAGATAGAGACCTCCCCTCTTCTCCCCCACGTATGTCCTCAGTGCCTCCTGCATGTAAAGCAGACCCCAGTCTCAGGCTGAAAGGCCTGCCCTTGGCTGAGGAGCCCGTCTCCTTCTCACAAGAGCCCTTCACAGGAGCATGGCTGTGCTGGGGTGCTCCTCTGCCTGGTGGCAGCTCCCAGCTGGGAGTGTCTCAGGGATTTCAGGAAAGGGCCCTGGTCACGTGGTTCCTGGTGTGTTTTACTCCTTGTCCCCAGGAGCAGCTGCAGGAGTTGGGAATCAGCCTGGTGAAGTTCTCACAGACCCTGTTCCTCTCCTACTCTCTCTCTAGATACTCTTTAATCAGCTATGGTGTGAGCTGGACCTACCAGTTTCCAGGAAAGTGGCTGGAGTCAGTAGGTATGATATAGGGCAATGGAAGCACAAACTATAACCCAACTCTTAAATCCAGAGTCAGCATCACCAGAGACATCTCCAAGAACCAAGTTTCTTTAATGCTGAGAGGCTGGAGAACTGAGGACACGGCCGTGTATTACTGTGGAAAACACACAATGAGGGGATGTCAGTGTGAGCCCAGACACAAACCTCGCTGTACTAGGGGCTCAGGACCACCAAGGGGCACTCAGGACCATCAGGGAGGGCTCAAGACCCCCAGGGGGAGCTCAGGATTATCAGGGAGAGCTCAAGACCACCGAGGTGAACTCAGGACCACCAGGGGGTACACAGGAACTGCTGAGGTCATCCCCTCACAAGGGAGGTGGTTTAAGGGCGGGTTTTTATCTCAGTGCTCAGTAAACCTCTTCCTGACATGCGGACAATACAAACAATTTCCTAAAAGCTGTGGAAACACAGAGATGTCCTCCCTTTTTAGAATAAACTCTCATACTTGTAATAACCCCACTGGACAAGGACCAGGAAGTAGGATAATTTTGACTTACATAATCATGAAAATAACTTTATGAATTTAGATGCACATTGATCTCCATTTCAAAGATGAGCAAATTAACCTTACACAAGAGCTTTGTACTGATATCAGGTACTCTGAATTTAACTTATTTGAATAATTATTTTATTACTTTCCTTTAAAGTTTACCTTTGATGTCTATGTAGAGAGATCCTGTGTAAATGGCCCTTGTGGTTGTTGAAAGCCCACAGCCTCTCCATCAGCTCCATGTCTCTCTCTCAAGGCTTTTCAGTATCTCCAAGTTCCAGTGACAGGAAAGAATGATCTCAACACTTCAGTCCTTTTGGTCTTCTTGAAGGTCAGGGAGCCAGAGCACACTCAGGGGCGAGGGCACCAATGTCAACATTTACACGGGATCCACTCTTACAGGGTCTGCAGCCTGTGGGCCCTTTTCCAGGTGCATCTTTGTCTCCAGACCCTCATGCTCATCCACCCCATGAAGAGGAGAACATCCCCCCTCACTCCACCCAGCTGCTCAGGTAGCTCAGCATCTGCAGGCTCAGGAGAGGGACACACTGGGGTCTGGGACTGAGGAGATGGAGGTGAGGTCAGGTGTCTCCTCCTCAGCATCTCATGATGAAGATGCAGTGGAATATTTCCACAGAGGGACGTGGTGTGGAGATGCTATAGGGCATGGAAGAATGGATCATGTAGCTGTACAGATATGACATCTAAAAAGTAAATTAGAAGTCTCTTTTGGAATGATGGAAGGTTGGAGCTTCTGATGGATTGGCACTTGGTAGGTGACAAAGAAGTCAAATAAGGGGTGGTTTTTGTTTTCTTATCCTAGTAAGATGGCATATGGTCATTTCATTAAATACCATGTGAGTGACAACATAGACTTGCATTTTATCATTGCCGTGTTCACACATCAACATATTTAGTTCTCATTCACTCAATTATGTATTCAGGTTTGTACTTGTCCATATATCTTCAAAATTGAACAGTTCCAATGATACCCTAGTGGGTTTACTGGCTAGAAAAACATATTTTTCCTTCTGCATTGTGAAATCACAGCCAAATCCTACTGATAGGGTCCATTGTCCCTGTCAGGAAGGTGGTTCTTTCCTTCCCTGCTCGTCTCTCTCTCACATGAGACCCTAAATGAGCTGGGCTGCACCACAGGGTCCTCAAGTGGGTCACTGGGCAGGATAGCAGTTAGAAGGGAAGTGAGTGGGGCTGTGCCTATCGTACTCCTGGTTTCCAGGTCCATAAAATTCCTGTAGATTTAAATAATGCCTGCACACTGTTGTCGCGTGAAGTTTACTACCTGTCAATTATTCATCACTAAAACTATTATGTGTAAAATAATGGATCACTGATTGGAAAAAGGTATAGGCAGATAGATAATAAAGTGAAATTTCAGGAACTTCTGAGAATACATCTGCATTGTTTCACTATACATTCTCAGGTAAATAAAAGAATGCATAAAATTAACACATGTTCTCATTACAGCAAGGGGGTTGTGCAAATTCCACTAGGCCAGCCCAACTCTGTCCTGGAGTTGGTTCAGGGGAGAAGACTGGTCCAGGATTGAGGAGCACAGGCCCAGATACTGGGGCTAATTCTCACCAGATATGTGCCCCTTCACACATCACTCTCTGGGACTCTGCCCCTTATGTTGGTGTCCAGCCCCAGAGCCTGCTACATAGTCAGAGGATATGCAAATAGGGCCCTCCCTCTGGTGATGAAAACCAGCCCAGCCCGACCCTGCAGCTCTGGAGAGGAGACCAGCCCCAGGATTCCCAGATGTTCCCATTCGGTGATCAGGGCTGAACACAGACCACTTACCATGGAGTTTGGGCTGAGCTGCGTTTTCCTTGTTGGTATTTTAAGAGGTAATTTATGGAGAACAAGAGATGGGGAGTATGTGTGAGGATATGTATGAGAGAAACATTGGATGTGTGAGAGTTTCCTGACCAGGATGTCTTTGTGTTTGCAGGTGTCCAGTGTGAGATGCAGCTGGTGGAGTCTGGGGGAGGTGCAGCCTAGGGGGGTCTCTGAGACTCTCCTGTGCAGCCTCTGGATTCACCTTCAGCAGCTATGGCATGAGCTGGGTCTGCCAGGCTCCAGGGAAGGGGCTGGATTGGGTCTCAAGTATTTATTGTGATGGTAGTAGCACATACTACGCTGACTCTGTGAGGGGCCGATTCACCATCTCCAGAGACAACTGCAAGAACATGCTGTATCTGCAAATTAACATCCTGAGAACCAAGGATACGGCTGTGTATTACTGTGCAACAGACACAGTGAGGGGAAGTCAGTGTGAGCCCAGACACAAACCTCCCTGCAGGAGGAGCTCAGAACCACAGTGGGCGCTGAGGGCCCCTGCTGTCAAGTACCATCAATGAGGCAGGTGCAGATGGGGTTAAGGGCTGGTTTCCTGTCGTGGCTTCCTTTTCATATAACAGTTTCCTCAAGACAACCTGTCTGGATTTGTGATTCTGTGCTTACCTCTGTATTCTCTGGTTAGGAAAGTCTCTTGTAATCTGAGGAAAACATTCTCATATGGAGAAAAGGCAGAGAGTCGCTTACATGCACACCTTTTCCTAAATGCCAATTTATTATCAACACTTCTGTAGTGTGTCAGCTAAATTTATAAAAGAAGCTCTGTTGGACTCAACAATGAAGCACAGCACAGGTCATGTACAAGGCAGCCAGCAAACAGCAACATAATGTGCAGGCTGGACATCAGACAAGGGAGGCATTATGAATCCAAAGAAAGAGAAGAAAGACCCCATGTAGTGGTGGTCATTGACTTTGCAGCACTCTGATGGCATCGACAGCAACTGATATCATGCAAAGACAGAGGAATCCCCAGCAAACTTTGTATGGTTGTCTGGGCTAATAATTCAACAAACACGCAGAGAGAACATGAACATTTTTATTACATCATTATTGAGATGTCCGTGGAGAGCAGCCCCGCCCCCCCCAAGCACATCAGAAATGGTTTCACGGAGCCTGGGCAGGAGACTGGCTCAGGGCTTTTATTGTGCTTCAGTGGTGGGTGAGGGGAGGGTCCTGCTCACAGGAGGTCTTGTGTGGTTTGAAGCTCCCACCAGCGTCAGAGGAGGGAGACCCCGTGCTTTCTTATCAGATTCCCCATATGTGGGGAGAACAAGAAGAGGAAGCAATGAGACTGTGTATCCACAACCAAATACCAAAAAACAGTATGTGATTACTTTCCACTTAATAACTATAAAAAAGGAGTGGAAAAAAGGATAAATGGCCATTATGGGTAGATAACAATTCAAATCTATAGAAAATGAGAAGAATACTATGTGCAAGCAAGAAATAATAATAACAATAAAACTATAACAGAATTAAAGCTGGATCTCAGCCCGCTGTCTTGGGTATCATCTGTCAGATCCAAGGTCATCAGCTTGTTCTGAAGGTCCTAGGTCAGTTTTTGGCATCCAAGGAAAAGAAGCTTCTACAAGATCTATGAGAATTCTCAGTTTGAGGTTCTCTCTTGGAGTAGCCTTCCAACTGTGTGGAAGTATGAAATGATACTCTAGTTGCTGCAATGGCTGAATGTTTGTGTCCTAAAAATTCATGTGTTGAAACCTAATGCCCAACGTGATGGTATTAGGAGGTGGGGCCTTTGGGAAGTGCTTAGGTCATGGGGTGGAGCCCTCATGAGTGGGATTAGTGCTCTTATAGAAAAGGACTGAGGAAGATCTCTCACTCCTCCTTCCATGTGAGGTTACAGGGAAAAGACAGTTGTCCAGGAAGAGGGCTCTCACCAGACGTCAAATTTGCTGGCACCTTGACCTTGGACTTCCCTGCCTCCAAAACTGTGAAAAATAAATGTCTGCTATGGATAAACCACTTAGTCTGTGAAAATTGTTATAGGAGCTCACACGGATTAAGACAGTTGCCTAATGTCAGAGCATGGATTCACACATTGCAGTTTCACTGCTGCACCTGTTGTATAAAAATACATGATGAAATCCCATCCAATGAGCTTCAAGGAGAGATTTTCTGTAACATGTCTTCCAAGAGACAATAGTGCCTGGTTGGAGATCATAGGAGAGTGTTAAACAGATGAACTGGAAAGGCTGTCTTGATATTTTGGTGATAGGAGTGGGTACAGTTCATTAATCTAATTTGATATTTTACCACTTCTGCATGCAACAGTTTAGAGGGAGTATTGTACATAAAGTCCCTAACTGCAAGGTCCTTTCAGTTTCCAAGTCACAGGGAGATAACTGATGTGTTCTTATAGTAGTGGACCATTATGCCACCAGGGAGCACCTTTGACCAAGGGAGTTCAATGGTATCATAAAGTTTTTCTTTTTTTTAATTTTAATTTAAGGATATGCTTTTTTCAACCTTTCTAGAAGATTGTCATTGGTAATGACAGTGTAGGATTTGAGTAATGTTAATGCACTATAG